CAGGCAAGTCTCGGCTTCATTGTAATTGCTGTGCTTCTCCCAACGACGCGTCACACATACTTTGCACGCTGTTCCGATTTTTACATGAAAATGTACAAAAATAAAAATATAGCTCCTTGCATTAGGTGTATCTCCCTTCTCAGACATCGTAAAAACGTGGCGATGCACGCTAACTTATGATGTAATATGCGTGCTTTTTGTGCATAAAAGATTTTACGATTTTTGCTGCAGAGAGAGAGGATGGATGGAGTTTAAAAGTCTGGGTGGCGTCAGGAAATGTTTTACTTATCACTCTCATATAAAAATTGATTTTGAAAAGCAGATAAAATTGAGAGCCCTTAAACGGAATTATTCTCAATGTCAAAGTGACTAAAAAAATTGATATATTAGTTAATATATCAATTTTTTTATGTTAACATATAAAAAAAGTAATTGTATTTATTTTGCTATTTTTTTTATATAACTAATCAATTATTGATGATACCCAATAATTTTTAAAGGTAAAGTAATATACTAATCATATTTTTTCTGATACATAGATAATACAAAATAAATATTACTATAGTCAAACAAGAAAACCTAATTTTCATGTCAACACTTAATTAACCAAACTGAATAATTTTCCGCACCTTTAAATTGATAGCTGGTGCTCAACACTAGACTGTTGTCACCCATTGCAAGAGAGACGCATTTTTCATCAGTTCCACATACAGCAAAGCTGGCCAAATTTAGCTCCGCGTGCCCAAGGTCACACTTGAAAAGGCCACACACATCACATACTCGTCTGCACCTTCACGAATGTTGGCCCCGAGGCCACTTTTACTTTTCCCATTCAATGTCTGCCGGACACTTTCCAGCTGAGAAATAAAAATGGATCTCTATGGTTGCCAAGAATTATTTGGATTTCTTCTTCATTAAATTAGCGTTCTCCTTTCAATTTCAGTAATTTTTTATTTGCATTGTAACTTTTATCATTACTGTTGTTGTTTATTTTTCCACATTGTTTTAACTATGAATTATTTTTAATTGTTGATTGGTAAAAAAATTTTAAATTTAGAAAAAGAGTAAAAAAAGAAAGGATTTACAACTAGCATGTGCATGATGTACGAGTGACATCAAACGAGACTTGGCCACCGCAGTAATAAAAGAAAAATCTCAACCAAATAATTTATTACCATTCCTTTCAAATCTCAGCTTTCGATCAAGAGTTAAAAAACCAAACTTGACAAATAGGACAACTCCGTGGGAATTAAAAACGATTTTTTTTTAAACGAAATGCCCTAATGATTTACAAAAACGGAACCATCGGCAAACATCAATGACTGTAAAATTTGTGTTTCAAAACATCCTGTCAACTCTGTGCGTTTTTTATTTCCTTTTACCATCATCTACTACGTCAACGGCATTATTTAGATTCAAGATTGGAATGTGTCATAGCAAACAATTCGTTGTGCAGTATTATTTTCAATAAAAAATGACTGCTAAAAATTCTGCTTGCAGGCAGAGAAAATTACTGTTTGGGCAGACTTATCACTAACTAAATGTTGAAAAAAAACTTTCTTCACCATAAAAGAATTCAAGAATATCAAAATTATATATTTTTATCTTATTAATACTGCATAACGTATTGTTTGCTGTGACACATTCCAATCTTGAATCTAAATAATGTCGTTGACGTAGTAGATGATGGTAAAAGGAAATGAAAAACGCACAGAGTTGACAGGATGTTTTGAAACACAAATTTTACAGTCACTGATGTTTGTCGATGGTTCCATTTTTGTAAATCATTAGTGCATTTCGTTTAAAAAAAAAATTCGTTTTTATTTCCCACGGAGTTGTCCTATTTGTCAAGTTTGGGTTTTTTACTCTTGAACGAAAGCTGAGATTTGAAAGGAACGGTAATAAATTATTATTATTGAAAAGAAGATACATATTATTAAATATAATGTTAATTACATATAATCAAATGCTTTTTTAAAAAATCATTTCTCTTTGAAATGTAATTGAATTTTGCATTAATTAATCATTAATGAGCTTCTTTCCTGAAATAATAAGTTGTCTTTGAAGTTATATGACATAAATAGTTTCATTACGTTATTTTGAATTTGCAAATTATACATGTCATCTTTTCAGTTTTATGCGGTGAATTATGTGAGAACAGGATAGTTGCTGAAATCCTTCTTTAAAATTTTCATTTCTAAAAAAACAAAGGTCGGCCATGCGGCAACCGTACTGCGTCAAACTCAATAAGGCTCTCAAGAAGCTTGCAATAAATCGTATTTACTAACTGCGTTGCGAGCGAGCGATAAAAATGAGCCGACACATCACCTCGAAGGCCACTCCTTTCAGGCAATCAATGGTCAGCGCTCGCCATATTTGCCAAACCGTCTGTCCATTATCGAGCTGTCTGGTCAGCAAAGCGTCCGTCTTGTGAAAAAGTCACGATGTCACCAAGAGCGCATTTGGCCAATTAGCAAACCGGTCAGTCATAACACATTTTGGCTGGACAAACACGAAGCGCGCTCCCGTTGATCGACCTGTGTCATTTGTTGGCCATGCAAATTTGCACCTCTCGTTTTATTTAGTCGTTAGCCGCGGCTGCTAAATGACGCCGGCGTTTATTTTCGGCCGCGAAATTTATGACTTCGTTACGGATTGCAATCAGGACCTGCCCGTGTTTATTTTTGTGCCGCTCGGAAAAATTCATATTATTACTCGGACAGGCAAACCTGAAACGATTGGCAATAATAATTGGTACAAAAGGGACGGATGCCCGCGTGGGATTTGCGCTCTTGTATTTGCATATCGCATGCATTAAACATGTCTGTGTGCTTTGATCCGTGTTACCTGACTAATTTGACGATTTTCTGTACCTTTGCTTTGTTCATCTGAAATTAGTTTTTAACACACAATTTATGCTGTTTTACATAAAATGCTATAAAATTAAATATTACAATATTATAATTATTATATACAAGTTCCTTTTTACAACATAGTTTAAATTTCATTTCATAGTTTTTTTTATCTTTATTATTGTTGGTAATTTTTAATAATTTTGTTAATTATTAAATCACAAATTGTGTTGAATAATACGTTGAATAATAATATATTATGTTAATTGATCATAGATCAGAATATGTTGATGCCATCACCCAGAGGAAGAGGGACAAGGTTGATAAAGTCTGACAGATTTTCACATTTTGGTTAGATAGTTCCCAATCGCGGATGAAAAGAGGAGAGCCATACTATAATTTAAGTATTAAACTCCAACATTTTTTAATTTAAGCAATAATTAATTGATTGCAGTGATGTCACCTGATTTAAATTTGATAAAGTTGTCAGAAGCACTCAAAAAATAATAATTAACAATAAAATCTAGAGAGGTAACTTATTGATATCAATACCTAAATTTTAATCTCATAATAAATTTTCCACATACACACGTGATAAAGATAATGGTTTCACCTAGATTATTTCTTATTTCACGTTGCAAAATATAATATCAAAATTAAATTCCTTAACTTGCATAAGAGAAGTAATTTTACTCTGCAACGTGTGGTCGTAAACTAACCAAGCCGACACTAATTCTTCCAGTACATAGTCTAAATACCGCGGGCTGCAGGGTGCAGCAAAAAATCCGCGCAGCCAGCAGCCATCCTTTGTCGCATTAAAAACAATATACAAACCGCGCCGCCGCCGAGTCTCGCGGGGTGCACAAAGGATCGAGAGAGAGAGATACCCCGCCGGATATGCGACTTGCTCGTGTCCTGGCTCAGAAATAGCGAGTGAAATGTAGGGTAGGCAAATTATGTGGACAAGGTTAGCTTTTAAATTCAAAGCTGAAGAGAACCAAGCCGAAATTCTTAAAATATGCAGGCTCAAAAAATATTGTAAATTAGATGAGTTTACGATTGAAGTAAATTCTAGGAGAGTGTAAATAATGATTATTATAGGGTAGAATTGATTGATTGATGGGAGTCAAAAAAATGTTGTTTTAAAATTAAGGAATAACAGCCGTTTTTCAATTAAAGCAACATAATTATAATTGACAATGTACTTGATACAATTTGAAACATCACTTCCTGAAATTAAATAAGTCCTTCTTAAAGGAGAAAATTAAGTCTATTCGAAAGAGCAAAAATATGTAATGACAAAAAGTACCGATCACGGCTTAAGCTCAATTTCACATTTTTGAATTATGACAGACATACATTTTTTAAGCACTATTTAGCATTAAATATATAAATTTTATATAATAGTCTGATTTTTTTCCTGTAAAATATTAATTGACAAGTAATAAAATACAACCCAGAATCGCCTAATGTTAAAGTAAATAAGTAAGGAAAAAATTATTGGACACCACTGCTGCTGTTAAGCAAATACCTTTAACAATTTCTTATTTAACAGAACAATATTCATTTTAGAGGTGATAAAATATTTGATCAACTTTATATTCAGCAAAACGAAGCCCAATAATATTTTTTTTTTTCATATTTTCCACGAAGATAACCCTTTTCATGCTCCCAGTGTAAAGGTGTCAAAAGGGGAGCAAAAATGAACGGCACTCATGAAATTGGTTGTAAAAGGTGAAAATTAGCTCATAAAATGCATTCGATGGTGAACCTATTCGACAGGATGTTTGGTGGAGGTCGCATTTATTTATGGGCGAGACCGAGCCGAGTAAAAATCGGTGTGGCGCCTGATGCAGGGGTTGGCCGCAGAGGCGCTGGGGCTGTCATCAAGTGCTAGGGCGAAGGGTACTGCAGAGAGTGGGTCGCCCGCCTGCCTTCGCCGCATAGGATCTCCTGCAGGCAGTCGGACCGGTCGCTGCTGCTCCTCGCTCGCTCACTTGCTCGCCTCTCGCAGCGCAGGTACTCATTTGCAAAAAACTCACCCCGAGATTCACATTCAAAAAAAAAATTTGTACTCCCCTCATTAGATAAAAAAAGCAAGAGTGCTGCTGCCGCTTCTCTGCCGTTTGTTGGTGTGTGCGTGTGAGTTTTTTGCGCGTTAGATGAGAGATTTAGCAGCAATTTTCTAACAACTCTCAGTCACCCCGTTCTGCCTAGAGGACCACCCCCTCCCAGTTAGTTATCGCGCTAGTTGGCACTAGAAATCATTCACCACGGAGCTATTTAATAATCCTGTTGTTACAAAGTTTATGGAGTGGGCAGGTGAGACACACTGTTACAAATTCTCAACTTTTTTACTTTTTCGCCTCAAAACTCCGCATGATAGAGAGATTCCTTGCTCTCCGGCCCGCCCTTACACGTCTGCATGATCTTTTTTTTTAAATTTCAATAATATCTCACTGTGGTACTTAAATTTATGCACGTTCCTCCTGACGAGATTGCTTGGTTTTCGCTGCTTCTGCTCATGCAAAGTTAATTACTGTTTGTGTCGGGCGATGCATGCTGTTGCCAGCGGAGCTTGTTAATCCCGCGATTTGTGTCGCTTATCAAAGTTTTTGCGAGGTAAGCTGCGCCGATCAAAGTGCGATTTGGCTTCCTAGAAACCAGGAACTTTATTTGAACGAATTTCAAAGGTTACCTTATACCATATTCCAAATGTGTCCATTGAAAAGATAAAATTTATATCTGATGTCCCGTGGATACTCGAAAGTTAATTTCTGGATAATTTCACAAACATTTAATTAGGAAAGGTCTTGACAGAAATTCTTTACAGGTTGCATATTAATTAAGAAATTGAAAATTCCATCGAATATTTAAATTATTATTATTATTATACTCTTCTTGTGGCCATAGTATTTACAAGTCCTGATTAGATAAAAGTTGAAATCTCTAACACGGTACCATCAATTTCATTCCAGGTGCTGATATTTTTATATTTATTCCAAAAATAGCAAAAATTTGCATTTATATTATTTTCAAAGGATCTGTTTTTCACATTCATAATTTACGTTTGTGACTGGCTGGTTTCAGAAGTTAGGATATTCATTAAAAAATACCTAAGAATACACTTTCAAAATATAGAACTAACGATAAGATTATTCCGGATAATTATTCTGCCCCTACCTAATGCACCCATATTTCTCAATATCACTTATGTATAGTTACAAGGAAGCAAGATAAACCCTAATCTCGGCACAAAAAACTATGAAATATTTTCATTCCTGTCACCAAAAGCCCTAAATAATTGTAAATCGCACACACATTTTTTTTGTCACTGGTGCACAAAATTTGTATATCGCCACTGGATTTCACCTTGATCGCCATTATTATTCTACTTAACTGCGCAAATATTAATCTGCCATATTTTATTTTATGCAAAACACGAATTTCGTATTCGCGCCATGTCAGCTGAAAGTTTTACGACGAGTCTGAATTATTTATGTAGCGGCACCTTTCAGCTTTGACTTTGTGTTACCGCGGGATTGCAGTAGCTCGTTTAATTAGGGCCGCATTATGGCGCGAGCACACACACGAGGCTTTAGACAACATTTCACCAAGTTTGCTGGCCTAATGTGCTCTAAATTTGAGAGGGACGTTTGACGTTGAGTGCCGTTTTAGAGAGAATTCATTGCATTACCAAACTAGTTAGGACGAGTAGTTTAGATGATTAACAAAGATGCTTCATAACGAGAAATTTGATATCCTACGAAAGTATAATAATAATAGTTTCAAATGGTCTGTTTAATTGGCGTCCTGCAAGAAGCTCTATGGAATTTTGAAATGAAATAACAAATTTTCAACTTCAAATATAGGAGAGTTTATCAATAACTGGGAAATTAAAAAATAAAGAAAATTTAAAATGTAAATTGTGAACATGTAAACAACAATAATAAATGAAATATGAATTAAGGATTATGGCGTTGAGCGGGTTGCATAACATTATCAATTAAATGTTCCAAAATAATTTTTTTCCTCTATTACAAGTGATTTAATAGAAAAAATTAAGTTCTTGCTGACTGAGAAACTTATTTCGGTAGTTCAATCTCCTTGGCAAATTTCTTATTCGGAACAAATTTATACAGCCGGAAAAGCTGGCGCTCGAGCACTTTCTGCACATTTCCCTAGCAGCGTTGAGTTTCACGGCGCAGTCAAACGCGTCGGCGGGCGTTTAATTACCATACGCGTGCATGGGTTCCGCATACATATCGTCAAAGAAGGAGCTCACTTTTGCGGCACCCTCGCGAAAATTTGAACAAAAACCATCCGCAGTGCAGTTCCGATGAAATTCCTTGGTGCATTCCTGTGCGAAAAGCCGCGAGCAGCGAGAAACAAAAGTAGCGCGCGGCTCAAGTCTAATTTGGCCGAGTCAGATTATGACGATAATGCTTTTACGCCACCGCCGCTCGGCAGTAAAAGAGTTAAACGACTGCATATTAGACGCGTAATTTAATACTGCATCTCTCGTCGCTCGTCACACAGTGCGCCGGCGGCGCCATTACAAAATAATGCGACACGCGCAAGAACGCCCGCGGCTAAAAGCGTTTAAATTGCTCCATCCACGCGGTTCTTGCTGCTGGTTCACATATGCGAACCAACGTGTGCTTTGCTTGAATTATGCGTGAATCGACGCCAGCTATTTAGATTGTATCGCGCCTGTAAAACTATGACTTGCCGGCCTTCCCCAAAATGCACGCAGTAAAAAAGTGGGACACAATTGGGGGAGATTGGTATAATATATAATGTGTATAATATTTGTGCGTGTGGGTGTTTCCCTCGAGTTTAAAGAGGAAGCAAACAAAACTTCAAATCTTTGAAGATTTAAATTTTAAATCATTTGACTGAATTTAAATAGAAAACTTAACATCGCCAACATCCCCTTCCTTATAACTTAGAGATTGCTTTTTTTTACTCCTAATTGAAACTACGCTTTTTAAGTTCCTTAAAATATGAATGCATTTGAAAATTGATTTTATTAAATAAAAGTATCATTCATAAGTCTAGTTCCTCATTAGAAACTCAAAGATTATAATAAATAATTTTTTCAAATAAACTTAATTTCAACATTAAATTTTTTATGCGCGCAATATTTTATAAATTTTTTCATCATATCCGCTAATAATTATTGAATAAACCAAAGCTCCTCCAGGCTACACTCATGGGCCCCTTTCCATTTCGAGTAGGACCATTATATTTTTATCAGAGACGGAGAAAAACGAGTGGCCCATTGTAGCACGCGAATCACATGGGAACCGCAAGGGTGAAAAACATCCGAGCAAATAATAATTGTCCTTTTTTACTGCTCGGCGGCCGAGTGGGAAAAATGGGTTGTGTTTATCGCTCGTAAACGTTGATGCAGTCGGACCTGTGCGTAAAAAGCGGAATGAACGAGACGCCACTTTTTCCACCCTTGCGCGGGCAGATGCTTTGGCTGGGGCGAGCAAAAAAAAAGAAATGCACAACACCAACTACATAATGTGCAGCGTCTGCCGGCGGAAAGTAATGCGGCTTGGCACCTATCTCTTGGTGTGGTGGCGAGAAAGAGCAGCTTTGTTTGGGGAGAGCCTGCGGGGCGCCTGCCAGTCTTCCACGGTTGCGCCTCGCTGCTTTATGTGGCACAGACGCGGTGAATTTCGCGAAATGATACATTTCATCTTATCAAGTCCCAGTATGACACGTGCGAGAAGCAGAGTGTTGATGAAAACATATAATACACTTAGTTCTGGGTAACTTTGCATGGCCTCAAGTGAATATTTAGACACCAAAGTTTGATTTTTCAAGATTTTCAAATATATTCCTTTTATAGCTTCCAATTATTGATTTCATTTTTTCTATAAATTTTGTGTGCCAAAATCTGTAAAATTCATTTGAAATATCGTTTTCAAATGGAAGAAGGTCATTTACAGACAGAATAATATATTCACAAAAATATGAAGTGAGAGTGAAATTTTTTTATAAAATTTAAAATGTGTCAAAATATTTGCTTAAAACTTCATTTTATAGCATCTATGCTTTGTAAATGGGATTTTTATTAGTCTTCATGGTTACTGTTCTTCTCCCTAGTTTTTCACGTTTTAATTTCTCCCAAATTTAGAAAAATCTACCTCAAAATTGCCCTTTTCATTGCTATGTAAATTTATTGATCTCCAATGCAATTGTTCTCTCTTCAATTCACATCTTCTCTTGACCCCGTTTTATCGCGTTGTGAAAGCTCTTGATCGCAAATTCCTAGATAAGCCCACGGGATGACCAGAAATCCCGCAGGACTGGTCCCCCTCTTTACTTCGGAAACCATTACTCTCCCTAAAAGTGTGTCAACATTTGCGTTTGACAGGAATTCTATTGGTTTTACAGAGACATTTTCCGCCACTAGATGGGCAAGGAATAACTTTTCAGTGGGGAAATTCTTCATGGTAGAGTGTGGGTAGCTGCGCTGTCTTGAAGTTTCGCCTCGTGGGATGGTCGGTGGCGGTATCTGTGTATGGTCAATATCTCTGTTGTCTCAACCCCAGGAGGGCGAAAGTTCAAAAGCTCTTGTCTAGGAATATATAAAAAGTTTGAGCGTTATAAAAATGATTTTATAAAAATTAATAAATATTAAAATTATAATATTTTAGTTTATGATACTTATTATTTTTTATGAAACAAAAAGAAAGTGATTGAAACTTGGATTTTAAAACTGAAGAAAATTACGTTTGTTTTTTTAAATTGTAAATTTATAACATTCTAATTTTCATGATATTAAATATACAATTTTAAAAAATAATTGTTTAATTTATTATTTACAACTCGAACGTTCCTACTAGATCAAATAGTTATTCAGTATAAAATTCTTGATGCATGAAAGTATGGTTTTACATAATATGTACTTATTTGTATTTGCTATGATTAAGTAAGAAATAAGGGGCAAGTGAAATTTCAATCACTTCTAATCACAGTTTTGAATAATCAAGCTTGATCAAATGAAATTTCACTAGCCGAATAGGAATTTCAATGAAATCTAAAAAAATATAATAAAAATTTCCTGTTTCCTACAAAGGGTTCAGAAATTCTGGGGAAAAGGATATTTCATTAAATGACAGGTGCAGCTCCCAAAAACTATTCTGGAACATCCTTGCATATTTCCATAATATATCCGTGGGCCCACGAATAGCGCATCTGTTCGGCCCATGGAAATTTCCCAATATCTCAAAAGTAACTCGAGACGGGAGTGGTGCAGGTGCACTTTAACACTCCTTGACAAAAGACTTTTGTGCGTGGCCATT